CGCTGCATTTCTTGCTTCGAATCCATTTGATCAAGAAACCGTTGATAAATGGCCTATTCATCGTCAACGATATTGGCAATGGTTACATTCTACTATTAAATCAAAGAAAATCTCTCCTCAACCAATTCAATCCATTGATCATGATTCATGCAAAGAACTTTATTATGAAGCACAAGCAATTCATCGTGTAGGAAAAAATCTACATGCTCTTCTTAGTGATAATTTTGCTGTACAAAATCTTTTCTTTGCTGAAAATGATCCATTCATGGCTGATCTCTATTCAAAATCAATGACATTTCAACCTTATACCGATATTCTTGCACAAAAACTCGTCGATCAGTTTAAGATCATTGAGAAAGAACACCGAGGAGAATCCTCACGTGTTTTCTCTATTTTAGAACTAGGTGCTGGTACAGGTGCTCTTACTTCAGTCATTCTCAAGAAATTATTTGAACAAACATCAATTATTCAAGAAAGTCGATTGATTTATGTTTTTACTGATGTTAGTGGTAAATTTCTTCTTGATGCAAAGAAACGTTTTTCTTCCATCTATCCATGTATTCAATATGAAATATGTAATCTTGATGGAGATTTAACAACACAAAAAATTAATCTTCATTCATTTGATGTTGTTTGTGCATTTGATGTACTTCATGTTGCACAAGATTTAACATTATGTTTAAATCGTGTTCAACAATTATTAAAACCTAATGGTTTTCTTCTATGTATTGAATTAACTCGACCATGGACATGGATTGAATTCTTTTTTGGTTTATTTGCTGGATGGTGGCATTTTACAGATACAAATACAAGATCAACATGTTTTCTTAATGTTAACAAGTGGAAGGAAATTTTAACACAAACAGGATTTGAAGGAATTCAAATTGAAAATGAAGGAGAACCAGAATTTGCTCATTCATTATTGAGTGCTCGAGGTGCAGATTGGACACTTCAGAAGAAAGATCTTTCCAGTCGAATAATATTTGATACAACTGAAGCAACTGTTCAAAATCTTCATGGATATATGGAAAAATTATTAGAATTAGCTCAATCGTTAATTCCAGTAACAGATTCAACAACTGTCTTTGTTCTTACTCAGACAACCACTCCACCCATCGGTGCAACATTTACTGGTTTTACTCGAGTTTGGGCGAATGAAGCAACACAACATCGAATTTGTTCGATAGAATTTGATCAGGAAGAATTGAAAAAGAAACAATTTTGGTTAGAACGAATTGAAAATATGGTAGAAAAAACATTGGAACGAGAATTTATCATCCGTGAAAATATCATTACTGTTCCACGTCATATTCCTCGAACTTTGACAAATGTCTTAACCAAAACCAATCAAGAACAATCCTCTTCGAATGAAAAGAAAAAAGAAGATTTTCGTTTAGAAATTGATACAGTTGGTCAATTACAAACATTAAAATATCGTTTATTTGATCTTCCTTCTTCTCTTTGTCCAAATGATGTTCAAGTTGAAGTTTATGCTTCTTCATTAAACTTCAAAGATTTAATGTTAGCATTGGGAATGTTAGAAAATCCAATGGGTTTCGATCGTCAAACATTAAAATATCGAGAAAATTCAATCAATTTAGGTTTAGAATTAAGTGGAATTGTAACAAATGTTGGTTCGAATGCTTCGAAAAACTTTCAAATTGGTGATGAAGTCTTTGGCTTTGCTAATCATTGTTTTGCTTCTCAAGTTGTAACACATGGAGATTTTCTTGTGAAAAAACCATCTCATCTATCTCATACCGATGCTGTTTCATTACCCATTGTCTTTGCAACCGTCTATGCTGGATTAATTGCTAAAGCTCAAGTAAAAGCAGGTGAAACTGTACTTATTCATTCAGCAGCTGGTGGAATTGGTCAAGCTGCTATTCAATTATGTCAACATATGGGTGCTCATGTTATTTGCACAGTTGGTTCTGCTGAAAAACGTCAATTCTTAGAACAAACATATGGATGTAAATTATTTGCTAATTCTCATTCTACTGAAGAATGGAAATCCGAAGTTTTGAAATTAACAAATGGTGAAGGTGTAGATATTGTTTTAAATTCTTTAAAAGGTGATGCTATTCAAGCTGGTTTACAATGTTTAAAAATCGGTGGACGTTTTATTGAAATTGGTAAAGTGGATATTTTAAATCATTCACAATTGGATATGAATTTATTATTGAAAGATTTAAGTTTTCTTAGTGTTCAATTAGATATATTAATGCAAAGTCAAACAAAGAAAATACAAGAATATTTACAATCCATTGAAAAATTAGCATCGAACAAAGCAATTTCTCCGATTGTTGATCGTATTTATCAATTAAATGATACTGAATTAGCATTTCGTTTTCTAATGTCTGGACAACATAAAGGAAAATTAATTTTAAATATGAAAAGTGAACTACCAGCTCTATTTCCTTCAACAACTATTTATAATTCTCAAACATGTTATATTTTAAGTGGAGGAACAGGAGCATTAGCTCTTCAATTAGTTCAACATCTAAGTGCTCATGGAGCTAAACGTTTTCTCCTATTATCTCGTCAAGGTTCTACTGGTTTAAGATCATCCGATGCGACTATGCTTACTGATCTTCAACGTTTTGGAATTGAAATTTGTATTGAAAAATGTGATGTAGCTAAATTAGAAGATATTGAAAATGTTTTACATACAGCACAAATGAAATTCAATGATTCTTCATTGAAATATAGTTTTCTTCATTTAGCTATGGTTCTTGATGATGCACCGATTTCAAAATTAAATATTCAACGGATAGAAAATGTTCTTCAATGTAAAGTTACCGGTGCAATGAATTTTCTTCAAATAATTCCTAATGAACAATTAGAAAATGTCATATTTTTTTCGAGTGCTGCTTCAACATTTGGAAATCCATCACAAGCAAATTATAGTGCAGCAAATACATTTCTTGATAATTATGCTAATCAACTTTCGAAATTAAGAAAAAATCGTGTGAAAGTTTTAAATTTAGGTTTAGTAGAAGATGTTGGAATTCTTGCTGAAGATTGGAAATTAAAACAAATTTTAACTGCAAAAGGTTTTGCTGGTGGTTTAACATCAACAGGTGTTTGTCAACTTGTTGATCATGCATTTCTTCTTCAAAATGATGATCAATGTCAAATGTTATATGGAAATTTTCAAATGGAAGATTTAATTCATTCATATCCAATATTAAAAACTCGTCTAGAGCATTTAATTGATCAAACAAGATTAAATAGTAATGCAAATTCAGGAACATCTACTAATGGAAATGAAATAACGATACCTTCGATATCGACATATATTTCAACTCTTTTAGCGACATCAAATCTCGATGTTAATGAAGCATTGACTGTTCAAGGTTTAGATTCACTTCTTGCTGTTGAATTAAGTGCTGGTTTAAAGAAACAATTTGGATTAGTCATCAGTCAATTGGCATTACTTGGTGGATTATCTGTTAAACAAATTGTAGAATCTGTTTCTATTTGAAAAAAACAAACAATTATTTATTCTTTATATTGTATTCTTCAATATTTTTCTTTTTATTCAAAATAAATTTCTGATCATATTAAATTAGCATGAAAGATTGATATCTTGAGGGTGTGGCTATAATAAAAGCAGTACTCACATTTTTAGTTTGAAGAAAGTTTTTAATACTATCTGCAGTTTTTAGGGACTTTGTTATGAGCAGCGCCACTAGCATTAGAAATTCTGTCTTGTGCTCTTTTTTGTATTCGTTGATACTAGGTAATTTCTTAGATGACTCACAGTCTAAACACAAGAAAAAAAGAATAGTTCTGTAAATTCATATTATGTTGCTAACTTATAGGAGGAAAAGGAGAGATTATTCAGAATATACCAGTTGAAATGTGCACAGTTCGAAAAGAACTCAAATCCTTAGCTCTAAAACGAATCATCAACGTATAGTTGGATGCGTGTGTATGGATATCTCTTGTCTTTATCTACTGCCCACACCCTCAAGTATTTTGTTAGTTGAATCTGATATTATCATCGTTGTTACTAGTATCGACTGTGTTTAATAGCTTCTATTCTTTCGCGGAATATATTAAAATGTCTTTTTTTTAGCAGCAGCCACATAAAAAATCAATTTTTTTCTTTTGCTTGTTCACATGGTTTGAAATGGAATAATACAGTGTTCTTTCTTTTTTCATGAGAAGAAAAAAAACACTACTGATTGGTTACTTAGTATATTTTTATGTTTTTGTTGCTTTTGAATTCTCATCATTTTTTATCGGTTGCGAAAACTAACTTCGTCATTTTAATCAACTACCTTCATCACCAGCTTCCAACATACATTAAAAAGCAAAAAATATTATCAAGAGATTTAACATACAATTCATTCAATTTAAACTATTATTGACGTGGTGAGTTTTTGACTATTTTCATATTGCATACTAATATTAATATCTCTTCTGATTAGTATTTTACATAAATATACACAAATTTAAGTAGAAAAGAATCGATTGGTCTCATATTTACATAGTAGAATTACCATTTTATCATGAATAATCAGACAATAATAGATAGATTATTTTATATCATAATTAAATCTTCATCTAATATCTTTTCTTTTTATTCTTTTCACACATTTATTTAATTTATCCGTTAGAATCAGTCATTTTTATGTGATATCACTTTTTAAAGTTATCTTTCATTTATTCTAGGATATGGGTGTGTGGAATGTTTCAATACCGACATTTATACCCCATACTCTAGCCACCCACATCATAGTCTTATTAACAGGATACGATAGCGTGAAAATGTGTTCTCTATGAATCACATTGTTGAGGTTCATAATTAATAAGAATATCACAAAGAAACGCACTCAACTAATTAATACACACGACTATAACCAGAGAGTTTGACATATGAATAGTTTTTATTTTAAATCAGTTATGATGCTACTTTCAAACAAAAATTTTTATTTTATTTCTAGACTATTTATTGTGCTTGTTACTCAAAAGTATTCTTTCGTATAAACATGGCTACAAGTGAAAATGTGGACCCACAACAGTATACACGCGTATCGGATATTGTCAATGAACCACAAGAGATGCTCATGCCAATTCGAGGCTATGAAAAAATGCCAATAGTGCCATTGGAAGAAGCTGTCATACCACTTATTTCGATTTTACCTGAAATTCAAGATTATGCTTATGTGGCGAAACAACGATGTAAATCCGTACCACCCGATAATTTAACACAGGATGAATCAGCATCAATCATGCTTTACTCTATGGAATGGAAACCACATGAAGAATGTTTATATTTTGCCCTTAACGCAACTCTTCGTAGTGAAGACAGACGAAAACTAGAACCATGGTTTTCGTATTTGAAACTTATTCTGACAGCACTCGAAAAATTACCATCCACACGATGCAATGCGTTTCGTGGAGTGAATTTAGACTTAACAAATCATTATACTCAAGGAAAAACATTTGTCTGGTGGGGATTTTCTTCATGTACAACATCGATTGAAGTACTCCAAAACGAACAATTTTTAGGCAAAACTGGTCAGAGAACATTGTTTACAATCGAATGTGATAGTGGTAAAGATATCAGTCGTCATTCGTATTATCAAAAGGAAAAAGAAATTCTTCTTCTAGCTGCTCGACAATTTATTGTAGTAGGTTGTCTTCGACCAGCACCAGGTCTTCATATGATTCAATTAAAAGAGACAAAGCCTCCAATTACTCTTTTAAAACCGGTTACGAATCAATATGTGCAGATTAATTCAACACCGGGTAGGAAAAAAAACTATTTCATCGGTTGAAGTCTAAAATGTTAAATATAGAACAATTTGATAGAAAACTACTTACGAAGCATGATGTTATAATGCCAGTTCATTTTTCAAAAAGTAAACTTCCATAAGATCTCTGGTTAAATCCTACATATGATAAAAGTTTTGCACATAATTATGGGGTAGGTTTTTCTATAAGGCATCACAATCTTATAGAAATAAGATATAGGCATTTGTGCACATATTCAACACGATTATTGTTAGTGCGTTTTCTTTCTGAAGGAACTGTAAGAGCGTCCCTAAGGATTTGCAAGGAGGTGTAACAGGGTCTTTTGGGTTTTGCAAGAAAATGAAAGGAAGCTTCTAAGAATGGGTATGGTTATAGAAAAAACCTGCGCTCACCCTCACTCGCCAGCCACATCCATTCACACACACTCACACCCACACTCTAATAAATAAATTATTATAGAATTGATGATATGAATTTGAAAAGAATCAGATGAATAAGAAATATTTAATATTTTATTATTGAATTTGATCTTTTGAAAATCTTAGTTAGAAAATCAAATAATTAAAGATTATACTTTTTACATTTTTATTTATCAGATAAATCATAAAACAATTGTTTCAAAGATCGATGAAAATAAAATCTAATTTAATAGAATAATTCATAAATAATTCACTTTTTATTTCAATAAAATATTATAAATCTGATCAAACTAAAATACAAATTAATAGTTATTATTATCTATTTATATTTTTCTTTTTTATAAAAAAATATTTTAACATATTACTTATATCTGAAATTTGAAAATTAAAAATAACTCCAAAAAGAAGAAAATCTATCAAATTATAAAAAATCATCTAAAAGAATTTCGTTTAGGAGAATTAAATTTTCTTTTATAAAAGAAAATCATTTCGTATTTTATAAGTAGCAAAATATTTTCTCAAAAAGAAAGAAATATTTTATAAAGAAAACTTTGGGCTTTATTTTCGAAAAGATCAAACGCGAACAAACTCTCTCTTTATATCTTTATTGAAAAATTTTAAATGAGAAAAGTTTAATATTGCTTTCTTTCTATTTTGAATTATCTCAAAAAATTAAATAATAGTTCTAATAGACCAAATAATTTTTTATTTATTGTTTTAAAAAAAAATATTATAGTAAATTTTTTCAATATTTTTTATATAAAATGAAATTAAAATTAATTATTTATTTTTCCATTATTGTCAAATAAAATGCTTATATTTTCTTTTTATTAAGATTTTCATCAGTCAAATCATTCTACAACTAGTACAGCACCTATATCAAAGAATCCAATAATAGCATTATATAAAAAGCTAACTCAATCTCAAATAAAACAAGGTATGTTTCATTAAATAAAAAATAAAAATAATTTTTCTAAAAATAGTTTTCTTATTTTTAAAATTGAGATAGAACTTTTTCATAAATTAGTTTTATTAATTAAGTAACGATTTAAATTAATTTTTCAAAGAATATTATTCTTCAGATAAGAAATAAGAATTTCTCGTGAAACAATATTCATAAAATTATTCATAATTTGGCTCTTTTCTATTTTTATACCACTGAAAAAAGATCTCATCCATCGTTTTCGAATTATTTTTCGCACTGAGATGTTGAGAATATTATTAAATAAATGTTTAAAATAAAAGTTCTTTTGAAAAGTAACAAAGTTTTTCTTCTAAAAGATTTTTTATGAATTAATTTGCATGAATAAGAACATCGAAAGTTTTATCTTTTATTTAGAGCCCGTCAGGTCCACGTTTTTTTGGACCCAGACCCAGACCCGCCGAATAAAAGTTTTTTGAACCCGGACCCGTTCACAAAAATTTGTTTAGATCCGAATCCGATTTCGACGAGCACTAGTCTGAACTCGAACTGTATCTTTAGAAAATTTTTTAGTCTTAACTATCCAAAAGCCAAAACTGAGGAGCAAAAAAACAAAAAGGTCTTTGATTTGGTTTTCTGAAGATCTATCAACCAGTTTTCAAATCCAAAATGGCATTCTCATGTTCACCGAGTAGTATAAAAATATTATGTTGATTATATATTTCTTTGTATCCGGACCCGGTCAGAAAAAGCTTCGAGACACGGACCCGGCTAAAACAAAATTTTCAGACCCGACCCGGACCCAACGGGCTCTACTTCTATTTCATCTAGATAATTTTTACAAATGAAAAGAAATATTCATAGAATTGTTAATCAAATTAATCATTCGAATAGTTTTTAAAAAAAGAAAATAAAATTATATTAAGAATTGAATATATTTATTAAAAATTAAAACTATTAGATTACTTTTGTTTCTTCGACATAAAAGACTTTCAAATTTAGTTCATATTATAACTAATTAATCAATTATTTAAAAAATCTCTTTCAGAAATAATATTATCATTGAATCTATACTATTTATTCGAAATATTTATCTATATCATAAATATTTATTTCCATTAAAATAATATAAAACTTTCAAATCATTTTCTTAATCATTTATTTAATATTCTAGCTTCTTTTTTTATCTAATTAACAATTATCTATTTTTACTTGGTCTTATTTTCATCAAATTAAAAAATATTCTAAATTTTATGAGAACTTATAAAATTAATTGATCATACTAATATTTCTACTATAAAGATTTGAAATTAATTTTATATTTTTATATTATTAAAATATAAAATCATCTATAATTCTTTTCTTAAACATAAAAATAAACAAATCAAAATAAAATATTTTTTTCTACTAAAAACAATTAATAAATATTTACATTTATCTTTAGACTTTAAAATATTTTATGATTAAAAATCTATTAATTAATGTAACAATAAATGTTAAATCCGTATAGGAATTTTATCATTTTAATAAAAATTTAATTGAAGAAAGAACATTTTCTAGTTAGAAAATAATTCTTTGATCTTTATTTAATCAAATAATACTTAGTGTTTCTCGAGAATATTTTTTGAATAATAAAATTTCATAAATTTTCTTTTAATCTGTATCATTCAAATTGTATTTTTTTCGTATTTATCAACATAGTTTTATTGTTAAGAATAATTCTATTAAATATTTTCAATTCATTTTTTAGTTTAACTGTTTATTTTAAAATATTTCTTAAAACCATTTATTCTATTAACAACTTATTATTTTTTTAAATAAAAAGAAGAATTGAGAAAATGTGAATAAATAACTCTATTTGTTTCTTTTTTCAAATATTTAAAATAAAAGAAAAGTTTTGCCAAATGAATAATTTTTGTTTAAAATTAAAACTAATTTTATTTTCTTCTCAACCTATTCACATTTTCCAAATAAAAATTAAATCGCTTTTAATAAAATTTCTTTTGTTAAAAATAAAATTTTTCTATGTAATCAAAGATTAATTTTTTTCGCTTTTTTATATTATTAAAATTCAATAAGAATTTTGTTTTCTTTTGATCAATCACACTTCAAATATTCTTGTCAATATTCTTATTTTAAATTCATTAAAAATCTATATGAAATATTTTATTTTTGATCATTTTAAAATATTTGTAAAGTTTTAATTAAAATTAGTTCGGAATATTGTTTCAACTGATTAACTAATTAACAATTTTTATGAGATTAATATTTTATAAAAGATTTATTCTAATATTAAATTTAAATTAAACAAATTTCTCAGAATAAATTGAATTTTTATATTTTTTTTCATTTAAAAAATCTCTTTGTATATTTAAATGAAAAGATTTAGCTGTTTTTAAATTGTTAAACATCTCACACATTTTTGAACTAAAAAAATCAGATTTTTCAATTTGCTGAATATAAACTACAGTTAAGTTTAACTTTTTAGTTTAGAATTTTCAAATAAAAAAATTTATTTAACTTATTAATAAAAAACAAGTGTTTACTAAATTATATTTAAATTATTAAAATAAAAATGATTTTCATTTAAAAACATTTTCCTAAATTAAACTTTTATGAAAATCAAATAAATAATTTTTAATTTAAAAATCTCAGTTGTACAACGAAATTTTTTGAAATTAGTTTTGTTCGATCAAAAGTTAAACATAACAAAAAGAAAATTTTTTTTCATTAAAACATATTTAAATAGAAGTTTTTCTTTTTATTCTCGTTCTTTTTTTTGAGTTAAAAATAATGAAAAAGATTTTGAATAAAAAACAAAATCTTTTGTTTTAGAACAAATTCAAACAAAAAAGAATCAATACAAACAATTTGGAATTACTGTTGCTGGAGGAAATGAACGAGGAGTGGAATTAAATCAACACTATGGTCTTCAAGGGATTTGTATTGATAATGATAAATCAATTTATATTGCTGATTGTCACAATGATCGTATTGTTAAATGGAAAGTGAATTCAACTGAAGGTCAAATTATTGCAGGTGGAAATGGTGAAGGAAATCACAATAATCAATTGAAGGGTCCAACAGATATAGTTTTTGATAAAGAAAATAATTCTTTTATTATTTCTGATAACGGGAACAGACAAATAATTCGATATTTTGATAATAATCAAACAAATCAACAAATTATCATTTCAAATATTAAATGTGATGGTCTCACAGTCGATAAAAGTGGATTTATTTATGCTTCTAATTGTGACCGTAATGAAGTAAGACGATGGAAACAAGGAAATGCAAAAGGTAAACTAGTTGCAGGTGGAAATGGTCAAGGAAATCATCGTACTCAACTCAATGGTCCTATTTATATCTTTATTGATGAAGATTATTCTCTTTATGTATCAGATTGTTTTAATAATCGTGTAATGAAATGGAAAAAAGATGCAAAAGAAGGAATTATTGTTGCTGGTGGAAATGATGAAGGAGATAGTCTCAATCAGTTGTATTATCCTCATGGAGTGATTGTTGATCATTTGGGTCAAATCTATGTGGCAGATCATTATAATAATCGAGTAATGCGTTGGTGTGAAGGAGATGAAGAAGGTGAAATTGTTGTTGGTGGAAATGGTGAAGGAAATCAATCAAATCAGTTGATCCGACCCACAGGTTTATCATTTGATAATGAAGGGAATATTTATGTTGTTGATTGTGACAATCATCGAATCCAAAAATATGAAAAACTATGAAACTAAAAATAGTTTTAATTTAATTTGACAAAATTTCTATTTTTATTTTTGAAAATAAATAAAAAACATAAGTTTAAGAAAAATCTTCAACAAAAAGAAATTTGCTTTTCATTTTAGAAAAAAAGTAGATAAATATTTGTTAATTTTAAATTTTAAATTAAAAAACCAAATGAATGAAATAGTTCGGATAGAATTTTTGTTGAATGAATCAAATTAAAAGAATTTCAAAGAAAATTCAATTGAAAAAATCTTATTTTTTATAAAAAAAATCAAATAAAATATTTCTCAAATTCAGAAAAACACTTAAATTAATAAAAAAAACGTATAAATAGAAACAAATTTGTTTTTTATTAGTTTTATTGTTGTAATTTTATGATTTATTGCGAAAAAGGGAACAGAAAAAAAAGAGATAAATGAATAAGAATGAAATCTGTTAAAACCGAGAAACTAGATTAAGAAATTCTATTTTTTGAAGGAATAAATTATTTCTACATTTAAATATCAAAAATAAAATAAAATAAAGAATTAAGATAGAAATAAACAATTAGAAAAATAAATAAAAGATAAAATTTGTTTTATTTTATTTAAATATTTTCAGAAAAGAAATTTTTCAAATTCTTTTAGTGAAGTTTTATTAGATTGTCTTTTGATTTGTTGTTAAAATATTTGAATTTATTTCTAAAATCTGAATAACAAGAAAAACAAGTAAAATATATTTTACAAAGTTTCATTAATTAACAATATGTGACCCACCGAATTTAATAAATATAATAAAATGGTGAAGAAAAACTGAATGAGTTTTCTATTTTATTGATAAATAAAAGAAAATAAGAATAATCCCTGAATTAAACAATTATTGAACAAATCAATAAATATTTTATTCATTCAAAGAAAATAATAAAATTAAATGAATAAATATTTAATTGGAACTCAATATTTAACAATAGAAAATGATTCAAATGATTTTATAGAAATCTTTTATTTCAATTTTACAATTAATTATTTTATTTTATTCTCGAAACTAACAGTATTTTCAATTCAAATTCTTTAATATCATCAGTTTAGTGTTCAACTATCAAAAAAATACGTATCACATGAATTAGTTATTTTGTTTTATTTACTGAACTTTTTTTATTTGCTCAATAATTATCAACTTATTGAAAAACAACGCACCTATTTATCTTAGAATTTTGAAGATGAACAAATTATCAACATAAAATAAAATATGAATGAGTTCATTCACAGATTTTGATTATTATTTCTACCAGTAAAACATTCAAGCTTGATAATTCAAGTAATGAACTAAAAAAACTGATTTTGAAAGGAAAAAAGTATTAATATTGAATTTATTGAGTTTTTAATTATTTTATTTAATCTCCTAATTTTTAATGGCATATTATACTAATATTTCATTCATATTATGATTCTATTAATAGTATTAAGAGAGACGTTATGTTTAGTCATATCTTTTATCAATATGAATTATTATTCAGATACAAAGTGAATTCTATTCAATATCGTCAAAAAAATATAAATCATTGGATGGATAAGTTGTTTTAGCAAATAAATATGTCGAAGAATGTTTTATAACTTATGATAAAACAAGAAAGTATAATGCAGTTGAGAGAGTGGATGTTCTAATTATTTAAATGAGAAATGTTATTGGTTCTAATGCATGTATTCAAAAGTACCAGGAACAAACCATTAATATCTTTCAAAATGGCGCACGTTTGATATTCTAATGTGTACAGTTATATCCATTCAATATTCAATTACAATGAAAACAGTCAGTACCTAACTTCGCATCTTTGGATATTCAGTTAATTTCGAATGCATTTTGGTGCGATCTATAATTTATAGTTTTTCGTTTTGTTTTGTCATCATATTCAACATTTATCATAACACACAAGAAACCTCTTTCGTTCTATCATTTCCTCTAAGCGTATATATCATAACTTACGAACATATGATAATCAAAATATAATATCTTTGACGTTTTGTAGCCAATCAACTTATTACTAAAAACTTATATAAGAAAAAGAGTGTATTTTTGTATTAAATATTATTATCATCATTGAGTTCGTAGTAATAAATAAGGAAGATTCGTCAAGTGCTAATACAAAATTATCGTTATGCAACATAAGAGTATTAAGTTTACTTATTTTAGTATTATTATTATTTATTGTGGGAAATTTTTATACAACACTTTTAAAGAGTATTTATCTAGATTTAATATTTCTCTGCTATACATAATCATAAGTTACTATATCTTTTATGCTTTATTTAATAAATATTTTTCGAAAAAGAAATCAAAGATATTTCCTTCGGTGATGATCAGTTTATACGCACAGTTATCTTTTTTCGAAAGTATTATCTCGAACACTTCAAATATTTGAATAATTTGTCCTTCTAATAAATTTATAAATATTATTTCGAATAAGAAAAAAATTATCGTTATCGTATAATCTTCATACATTAAGTGATCATATTGATGACGCAAGCCATTATTATTTTTATACATGTTCTATTAACATGAGACAGGTGAGGAACGTAATTTGTTTTTGCTTTTTTTTTTATAATTCATGAGTCATAAATAATACTCGTTGCGCATATAAAGAAAAAAAGAAATAATGCCTATACAGGCGCTTTATTCTATTGTCTACTTCATGTATTTTTTCTAGTTAACATAAAGAAAAACGTGGCTTATACATTACGAATCAATACAATTGTATGATAAATTAAGATTTTCACCTATTGACTCTTGTATATAATTTGTTAAGATAAAAGACATGATCTATGCATGGATGATTACCATAGAAGAAAAAAATAAAAATATAAATTATACTTATTGCAGTGTGATTCAGTTTATTTACGTATTTCTCTTCTATTTTTATATGACAGTATCATACAATTAAAATTTCATGAATTTCTAGTATAAGATAAATAATGGCATCCAATACAACTCAGGTATATTGAATTAGTATACTGTGTGAGATACTATAAATTTTTTGATTTAGATTCAAATGAATTCTCTTAATATTACTACTATTTCTCAACCACCTTCTTCTAATAGACGTCAAAATTCAAGTGTGAATCTGGATAGACGAAATACGTCCATTCCAGATAGAACTGAACCAACAGTATTAATGCTGTATGTTCTTTTTCTTTAGTTTCATTTTAATGAATGTTTTTTTTTTTATTTAGAAAAGAGACTCCTTTAGACGTAATAAATTCACCTATTGCTGCCATTGTCTTATGTCTTTTCACGTGTATTGCAACGATAAGCGGTGTTATTATAGTATGTTTAACTGCATCGAAATCACAAGGTATTTTTTTTTGAAATAATTAATTTGTTGATAAGTAGTTATTTTCTTAGCTACACCATGTGGATTAAATTTTTCACCAACATCAATCAATCCAGTAGAATATAAATATGGTCCAAGATCTATTGCGGTTGCTGATCTTAATAATGATACATGGTTAGATTTAGTTACTGCTGATTCGAATGTTAATAATATCGCTATTTATTTTGGAAATAAAAATGGAACTTTCATAAAACAAAATGAATATTCAACTGGTGCGAATTCTATTCCATATATGGTTGCTATTGGTGATCTTAATAATGATCATCAATTAGATATTGTAGTTACGAATATTGGTACAAATAATATTCGAATATTTCTTGGATCAGGAAATGGATCATTTATTAATTATAAAGATATTTCAACCGATTCATCTCGTCCAATATTTATTAATTTAGTTGATTTTAATAATGATACATTACTTGATATGATTATAATTAATTATGGAATGAATAGTATAAGTATATTTTATTCATCGGGAAATGGTACATTTTTAAATCCATTAATGTATTCAACTGGTTATGATTCATCGTCATCATCATTAATTACTGGAGATTTTAATAATGATCATTATTTAGATATTGCTATAACAAATTATGGAACAAATAATATTCAAATTTTATTTGGAAATCATGATAGAAGTTTAAGTAATAAAATAATTATTTCGACTGGTATTAATTCACATCCATCATCGATAACTGTTGGTTATTTTAATAAAGATGCTTTTCTTGATATTGCTATTACCAATTATGGAACTAAAACTATTGGTGTCTTCATAAATAATGGGAATGGAAATTTCCCAAATCAAACTATTTATCCGATCGATTCTACTTCACCATATTCAATTGATGTGGGTGATTTTAATCAAGATAATCATATGGATTTATCTTTTATCAGTATTGGTGGTAAAAATACTGGTTTACTTCTGGGGTATGGGGACGGTTCTTTTTCCAGTGCAAGAATGAATTCAACTGGATCATTATCTTCGGTATCATTTGCTATTTGTGATTTTAATAAAGATAATCGATTGGATATGATTGTTGTTAATAATGATACTGGAAGTATAGATATTCTTATTGGTTATTTTGAAGGTTATTCTAATCCAGCGATGTATACAACTGGTTCTTCACCACGATCTATAGTTGTTGGTGATTTTAATAAGGATGGTATACTTGATTTAGTTGCTGCTAATCATTTTGGTAATACAATCAGTATTCTTGTTGGATATGCAAATGGTTCTTTTGAAAAGGAAAAGGTATATCCCAGTGGTAATCATTCATGGTCTATGGCTAGTGGTGATTTTAATAATGACAATCAATTAGATATTATTCTCGTCTGTTATGATAACAATGATGTAAATGTCTATCTCGGTTATGGTAATGGTTCGTTTGCACATCGTATAGAATTTTCAACTGGTTCATTTCGTGATTTTGTAGCTGTAGGAGATTTTAACAATGATAAACAATTGGACATCGTTGTCGCGTATTCTATAAGTAATAATATGAGTGTACTATTTGGATATGGGAACGGTTCGTTTACTAATCAAACAACCTATGAAACTGGTTATCAACCCTATGCAATAGTTGTTGGAGATTTCAATAATGATATGAATTTCGATATGGTTATTGCTAATTATGGCGACAATACCATTAGTGTTATTCTCGGATATGGTAATGGATCTTTTACAAATCAGACAACCTATTTAACTGGTTCGAAACCATACTGCTTAGCTATGGGTGATTTCAATAACGACAAACAATTAGATATCGTTGTAGGCAGTTATTATAGTTTTAATGTAGGTGTTTATCTTGCATATGGGAATGGTTCTTTTACACAACAAATTACATTTTCAGCTGGTAATAGTCCAACATCTTTAGCTATTGCTGATGTCAATAATGATACTCGACAAGATATTATTATTGCCAGTATTAATCTTGCAAGTGTACTTGTTCTTTGTGGAGATGGTACTGGTAATTTTCCAAATAATATGTTATTCAATACTGGCGCTCCTGCATACTCTGCAGCTGTTGGTGATTTCAATAATGATGCTCGAGTCGATATTGTCGTTGGTAAAAATGATAGTAATACTGTTAGTATAATATTGCAGTTTAACCGAGGAGCACTTGAATATGAAATGAATTATGCATCTGGTGGTGGTTCTAGTTTACGATCATTTGCCATTGCTAATCTAAATAATGATACTCATTCAGATATTATTGTTGCTAATTATGGTACTGACGACGTTGGTATTCTTTTTGGGTATGGAAATGGTACTTTTATGCAACAGATCATGTTTGACATGGGTTCAAATTCTCGTCCATCATCCATCTCTATGAATGATTTCAATGGTGATACTTATTTAGATATTGCTGTAGCAAATTATGGTACACAAAATCTAGGAATGTTACTCGGAAACGGAAATGGTTCGTTTGCAATTCAAACAAATTATTTAGATAATATGATTTTTAATCCTATTACTATTGTTTCTGGTAATTTTAACGATGATAATCGATCCGAAGTTGTTGTTGCATATGATAGAAGTGATAATGTTGATATATTTATTTCATACAATACTGGATCCTTTATAAATCGACAGATATTTCCAACGGGTTCAGTTCCATTTGCGATAGTTGCAGGTGATTTTAATAACGATCATCAATTGGATATAGTTACTGCCAATTCTAATGATAATACCGTTAGTGTACTTCTTGGGTATCGAAATGGTTCTTTCACAAGTCAAGTAATATATGCAACTGGTTCTAATCCATATTCTGTAGCAGTTGGTGATTTCAATAATGACACCTACTTAGATATCGTTGTTAGCAATGGTGGTAGTAACACCGTTAGTGTACTTCTTGGGTATGGTAATGGATCTTTTACCGATCAAATAACATATTTAACTGGTCCTTATCCATATTCGATAGGGGTCGGTGATTTTAATAACGACAGTCGACTAGATCTTGTTGTTGTCAATGCTGATAATAGTTCAGTTAGTGTACTTGTTGGCTATGGGAATGGTTCATTTGCAAATGAAATTCGATATTCAACTGGCTATGAGCCACGATCTATAGCTGTTGGTGATTTTAATAACGACGATCGATTAGATATTGTTGTTTCTAATTTAAATGATAATACCGTTAGTGTTCTTCTTGGATATGGCAATGGTACGTTTGCAACACAAATGATTTATTTAACTGATGCAACTCCACAATTTGTAACTGTTGGTGATTTCAACAACGATAATCGACTTGATATTGTTGCTGCTACTTTAGGTGTAAATACAATGACTGTCCTTCTCGGATATGGCAATGGATCTTTTCAAATGAAAAAATCGTATCCAACTGGTGTACTTCCATTATCTATTGGTACTGGTGACTTTAATAATGATACTCACTTGGATATTCTAATTATCAATTATAGTAGCAACGATTTTAGTATCTTTCTTGGGTATGGGAATGGATCTTTTAATACTCAAATCCAATATTCAACTGGTTCTTCACCAGCATCTGCAGCTATCGGTGATTTCAACAATGACAGCCTGCTCGATGTTGTTGTTGCTGATTCACAAGATAACAATATCATGATATTATTTGGAAGTATCAATGAAAATTTTATAAAATATACGACGCTTCCAATTATAAACGGTTCTCAACCACAATCTTTTGCTATTGGTGATTTGAATAATGATACGTATATGGATATTGTTATTGCTAATTTTGCTATTAATACGATTGGAATTTGTCTTGGATATGGTAATATCTCTTTTTCAAATCAAACAACATATTCTACTGGATTCAATTCTTTACCATCTAGTATCGCACTTGGTCATTTCAATAATGATACTATACTCGATATTGTTGTTACCAATTCCGGTTCTGATAATATCGGTATATTTCTTGGATTTGGCAATGGTTCGTTTGGAAATCAAACAACTTATTCAACGGGTTCATCTTCACGTCCATATTTTGTCACTGTTGGTTATATTAACAACGATGCTAAACTTGACATTGCTGTTACTGATAATGCCAACAATAAAATTGGTGTCTTTCTCGGCTATGGTAATAGTTCATTTGAACGTGTTATTTTCTATGCAATAAAATATGGATCTAATCCATTTTCTATTCTTATGGATGATTTTAATAATGATAAAAAATTAGATTTTGCTATAGCAAATAGTGGAACTGACAATTTAAATATTCTTTTACAAACTTGTTAATAATTTTTTTTTTCTATTTTTAATTTGATTATATATATATATTTCTTATTATAAAATTTACTTCACAAAATTCGTAGGAATAATAAATGTGACAAAGTTTATTAATTTTTTTTGTGTGTGAATAAAAAAAAGAAGGCACGAAAATTCCAAGTCTTATCATTGTTTTAATGAACAGCGGATGTATTTTTAGTTGTTTCTTTATGTAAATTAGTTTCTGCGTTGATTTTTCGTTCAATATCAGCACAATATTTTTCCGGAACACCAGCACGACTACAGAGAGAAAAAAAAATATTTTTCCGATATTCAAAAAAATACAAAACTTACCGTAATTCTTCAAGTTTTTGTGTTTTAATTTGATCAAGACGAATACGACGTAATCTTGCTTCTTCTTCACGTCGTACACCTTCTTCAAAAAATTCAGCACGATCTTCAACTTTTTGTCTTTCATGACGAACCATTTGTGCTCGTAAATCATTCGCAAAATGTTGTCGTTTAACAAAACGTTGAAAATCTTCACTACGATCTTTTTCAGCCTGAGTTAATTGTGCTCTAAAATTTTGATTTATTACTTCTATGTATATATAAAGAAATTAATTTACTTGAGAACACGTTCAAATTCTGCTCGTTCTCTTGCAGCTTCAACTGCTAAATGTTGTTCTTTATTTTTAATTTGCCAATCTCGTGCTACGCGCATCTCTTCTTCTGTTTGTGCTTTTTTAAAAGCTTGAAATTTTTCTTTATCTCGCCATTCACGTTCACGTCTTTCTTGTTCACGTTTAGCTCTTAAGGCATCTTTTTCAGCTTGTAAATCACGGGCACGTTCTTGTTTAGCACGTAAACGTGCAACTTCACGTTCTTTTTCAGCACGTTTACGTTCAGCTTCAGCTTCTTGTGCTGCTTCACGTGCAGCTTTAGCTTTTTGAAATTCAAGTACAGCTAAATCAGTTTGACGATCTTGTTGTTTACGTAAGACACGTTGTTCTTCAATATCACGATTAGCTTTTAATAAATCGTGCTAAAAACAAAAATAGATTCAACGAACGAAAAAAAAAATTATTTACCGCTAATTTCTTTTGTACACCTTTTCGTTTCGAATATTCTTCCCAATCTCTCTCCTGTAATTTTTGCATTGCATCAAGCATAGCAGCATTTTCTTGTTCACGCATATCTTCTTTAAAAACTTTTTCACGTTCATTTTCACCAATTTGTTTTAAAATCATACTTGCACCTCTATATATGAAAAGAACAAAATAAATTCGATCCTTGATGTTAAATAAATTTATTTACTCTTTAACTTGTTGGTGTCGTCTAAGTTCGATTTCTTCTTGAATCTTAATTGCATTAAGACGTTCAATTTCCATCATCATATCTAATCGTTTACTTTCTTCTTCCATTTCCTGTTTAATTTGTTGTTTTTCTAAAACTTGTGCATCACGAATAGCATGACATTTAGCATTTAAAACTAACTAGAAAAAAAAATTTTTTTCTCAAATCGAATTTTTTTTGTAAACAAACTTCGTTGAGATGTTTAACTTCATCTTCTTGTTCTTGTCGAAGTTCATTAGCACGTTTTAATAAATATTCGGCTTCTTCTTTAGCTTCTTGTTCGATATCATCTAATGGAGCATTTTTTTTACGTTGTAAATCATAGGCTTGCATGGCTTTTTTACGACGATCAAGTTCTTCCTATAGAAACAGAATAGGAAATAAATTTATCATTTAAATAATAATAATAATACTTCAAGCCATTGTTGATTTCGTTTCGTTTCTTCAATATTATATTCACGTGCATCTTTTGGATTATTACGAGCAGCATGTGCTAAACGTTGATATGTTGCATCATTAATTATTACGGAAGTACATGGTTGTTCTTCCGGTACAATCATATCTCGAATAAGATCTTTTGTAATATGCCTAATAAATTCTTTTTTAACTGGTCCAACTTGTCGTGTTGTACATGATTGTGCACGTCGTGCTTGATCATCAGCTAAAGATAAAAAAATTCTTCTATTTTTTTGGGTTTAAAAAATATTTAACCTTGAGGTTGTTGACGTTCAGCTCTCATTTTTGCTGCTGTTGCTACCCTATGTGGTTGACCAAATAAAGTTTCATCAATTTCTGATTGAGCATTAATTGTTCGATATCGATAATTATTTCCATTACGTTTTGCATTTGCTGAACCTGAACCATTTCCACTACGAGAACCACTCGATGCTGATGCTGGACACATTTTTCGATTTTTTTATATCACAATCAAAAAAAAATAACGATGAAGAAATGTTTTATTCTTCTATCGCCATTACCTTTGCTCATTGTCTATGGTAATGACCTCTATTGAATGAAATCAAATTTTTTATTTATTTATTTTAAATTAAATTTACTAGATTCAAAAGAGAAAAAAAGAATTAATTTTTGATATTAAAAAAGTAAATGAAAATTTTTTTATCAAAATATGAGTCATCGAAAATAAGATTTTACGTTTTTCGTTTCATTTCGTTTGATATTGATAGTCATGAGTGTTCTTCAACGTATATTTGGGAGTTCAAAGCAACAAAAATCAAATAATATAACATCTGAAGAAGCTATTCAACGTTTATCCAGTGTTGAAGATCTTCTTAATAAAAAACAAGTACATATCGAAACACAAATTGAAAATGAAAAAGCAAATGCATTAAAATATTCCAAACAAGGAAATAAACGTGCAGCTATTTTGGCTTTGAAAAAGAAGAAGAAATATGAAAATACATTAAGACAAATTGATGGAACATTAACAACATTAGAAATTCAACGTGAATCTTTACAAAATGCTTCGAGTAATATGGAAGTTTTTCATGTTATGAGAAATGCAGCAGCTGCTTTAAAAAAAACACATGATAATCTTGATGTTGATCAGGTTCATGATTTAATGGATGATTTATCTGAACAAAATCATATTGGTAAAAATGAATTTTTTGTTTTTTTGTTTTCAAATAAATTATTTTTTTATTTTTTTTTAGGGGAAGAAATTGCCAATGCAATATCATCACCAGCTTTAGGAGGATCAGATTTATATAATGATGCTGATTTAGAACGAGAGTTAGATGAATTAGCGAACCTTGATTTAATAGAGGAAATGACTAATATTGGAGCATTACCAGAAGTACCAACAACAAATAAAACGAAAGAAAAAATTGATCCAATTCGACAACTTGAAGATCCGACTTTTTGATGATAAAATAATGTCGTGTGCAAAAAACAAAAGTTATCTTTTTGTTGACGTGATGAGTCATTTTATTTGAAATAAGTCAAATTTTCTGTGTTTTTTTTTGTTTAACAACATTTAATTTTACTAAATTAAGTCTATGAGACTTATAATCATTTCATATGTTTTATAAATAAAAAATTTTGATTCAAATATACTCCTTCAATGTCATATATATTAATTATCATGAGCTAAAGAAATATAGACGTACTTCGTCATATATATAAAATATAATTCTCGAGCAGCCTAGCGTCATTTCAATGCAGCATGTTTTATATAGAAGAATAAGAATGGAAATCTTACAAGATTTTTGTTATTTTTAGTCAACGTCTATCTTTAACAACGCTAAAATCCTTTATTTCTCAACTCAAATTAATCGACAATTATTGTGAGATAAATCTTTTCACTATTACTCAAAGTAGTTATTTAATTAATTTCAATTTAAAGGGTGTTGGTGTGGGTGATGATGACCATCGTTATTACTAGCATCGAGTGTGTTTAACAGCGTCTATTCTTTCGCGGAATATATTAAAATGTCTGTTTATAGCAGCAGCCACATAGAAGGCCAATTTTTTTCTTTTGCTTGTTCACATGTCTTCAAATGAAATAACACAGGGTTTTTTCCCTTTTCATGAAAAAAAACATTACTGATTGGTTACTTAGTATATTTTCATGTTGTTGTTGCTTTTGAATTCTAACCATTTTGTTGGGATTTACCAACTTTACTTTTTGTTTGTCACTTACTAAATTCTTATATAAACTCAACTCAAAACTCGCTTCCAACATACATTAAAAAGTAAAAAATATTATCAAGAATTCTAGAACAGCATTCATTCGATTCAAACTATTGCTGACGCGGTGAGTTTTTCATTCTTTTCATACTGGATACTAATACTAATATATCTTCTGATCAGTATTTCACACAATCATAAACAATGTTCTAACTTGCATTAGTAGATTAAAAATAAACTGATTAGTTACTTTGTATAATTTATTAAGATTCTTCATACCATTTTGCAATGAAAACATGTTGAAGGTTTCTTTTGTATATTTATTCGTAAACTGACTTTTCAATGTAAAACTCACTTGAGAAGCTATAATGTCGAAAGGTACACTCTTAAAATTCGTTTGAAAAACCCAAGGGACCTTGTAAAAAAAAGAATGTAGAATATTAATGGAACTATTTTTAATAATTTAGGATCAATTATTCAGTAAACATTAAAGGAGTTAATTATCCAATGTATTTCTAATAAACCTTCGAACGGTATTCTCATTTTATCATACGAATGGTCTTTGTGGGTCCAGAGAGACCCACATAAAAATAAGTTAGATAAACCTGATTTTTCATCAATTCTGTAGTGGATGCGGTTTATTACACCTTATACCGTACTTTTTATCAAAGCGTGAATATATTAGTATGCCTGTGATGTATAAAAACAACGGGTTTTTTTCATGAAAGTTTTTGAAAATAGGTTATGATAAAATTTTGATTTTAAAATGTTACTGACTGAATATAGCAAAATCGTCAAAAAAAATTTAAGAATGTAAGTGGTTTGCTATTGGTAGTGTCGTACTAACGAATCTGGATTCAATAAACTCTAAAAAAGTAGATGGCAGGCGGATTATGTATTAAAATCGCTTATATAACATCAAAGGTGTCGATGGGTCCGTATAGACCCACACTTCAGTTTTCTAACTGTAAGGCTTTAGTACGAAGTTCACTATGGTGTATATCCATCATCATCTGACTAACGATTAGCAGAGAGATGGCCCCAAAAATGATGCGTCTTCGTGTAGAAAAATCAAAAAAATAGTGTTGTGGGTCTTGTCGGACCCACAAAAACCGTTCGAGGGTTAAATTGAAAGAATATAAAAATTATGAAGTAACTTTGGTTGTCAATGTTTCCAGAAATAATCAAAATACAATTCAAATCGATTTTTTCATTTTTATTTTTTATTATTTAGTTCGTCATTCAAAAAAAAAAACAATTTGAATAATTAATTAATTATAATGAGTCATTCAGGAGATCGTTTCACAAATATCGAACTGGTAAATAAACGGTTACCAGCATGTTTCGGTTATCTTACTTGTGAATTATTATCTCTTGAAGAAGCGACGAATGAATTACAAAATTTTCTGAAAGATATAAATCGTTTTGTTAGATTAGCTAAAAGACATTGTACACATCCAAATGATCATAATTTAACAAAAGATGAATCTGCTGCCATTTATATTTATACGATGGAACTTTCTGGTGGTTCATGTATTTATCGTGTTTTAAATCAAACACTTCGTCTAGAAGATCGATCAAAAGTTCGTCCTTGGTTTGGATATTTAAAACTTTTAGCTTCTGCAACATCAAAATTACCTATATTCAAAGGAATTGTTTATCGTGGACTTGATAAAGATGTTACTATGAATTTTAAAAAGGGTCAAAAAATTACTTGGTGGGGCATAAGTTCATGTTCAACATCTGTTGATGTTATTTCTTCATTTATTAGTAAATCTTCTTCAAGTACATTATTTCGTATCGATTGTTTAAATGGAAAATCAGTTGCATCTTATACATGTTATCCACATGAAAATGAAGTTATTTTGATGCCTGGGACAAAACTTGAAGTTGTATCTAATCCATTAAGTCATCATGGTGGATTAAATATTATTCATTTAAAAGAAATTAATGATGATGATGATGTAGAAGAAGAATCGCCCAAACCACTAAATCCAAGTATGTATTTTAACTATCATATCTATTAAACAGCAAATCAATAAAATGAATTTCGATAAATTAGTTCATAGAAAATCTTGTTTTATTTTATAGATTTTTCTGAACTAATCGAATAAGAAATTGAAATGATTTAGGATTAGATTAATTTTTGATTAGAAGTTCATATCTATTTATTTTTATTTCAAACTCAAAAACATTTGTTTTATTTCACTTATCAGAATATATTGCTAGATAAATATATTTATAGAATAATTAAAAAAAACAATTTATTTTTTAATCATAAACAATTTAATAAATAAATCATTTTAGAATTTATGATTGTACTCTGAAAGTAATCAGATAGATAAGAAATATTTGACATTTTATTACTGAATTCAGTCTATCGAAAAATCTTAATTAGAAAATTAAATAAATAAAGATTATACTTTGACAATTTTATTTCTAAGATAAATGATAAAACGAATATTTTTAAGATCGGTGAAAATAAAATCTAATTCAATAGAATAATTTATTTGCCGTTTCAAGAGTATTAAACATTTGATCAAACTAATATATAAAGTAATAATTATTATTATCTATTTCTATCTTTCTTTTTTATAATAAAATATTTTAACATCTTACTTATATTTGGAGATAACAAAAACTCCAAAGACAAAAAAATCATCTAAAAGAATTTGTTTTTGAAAATCAAATAAATTGTCTTTTATAAAAGAATATCATTTCGTATTCTATAGATGCATAAATATTTTCTCAAACAGAAAGAAATATTTTGTAGAGAAAACTAGGATTTATATTAAAAAGATAAAATACGAACAAATTCTGTCTTTACTTCTTTGTTAGGAAGAATTTTAAAACCTAATATTCAATTTTCATTTGTTCCATTTAAAATTGTTTCAAAAACTTAAACAATAGCTCTAATAATCTAAATAATTATTATTTATTTATTTTTTTAAAACAAAAATATTATATTAATATTCTTTGGTATTTTTATATAAATAAAATTAACATAGATTAAACCCCTTCCCATAGTAAAAGACCCTCTGTTTTAAAAGACCCCTATGGATAAATGGTTTGAAAGACATAATACAAGGCCCCCTCTCACAAAAATATCTAAAAAATGTGCTGAAACATTTAGACTTTTTATTTTAGTGAAAATTTTCATTTTTTTTTCGTTCTGTTTGTTTTAAATTCATTTTCCTGTAGCTGGTTTCTCTTCTACCGTATTTCAGGCAGATATTTCTATAGCACAAAATAAAAAAGAAATAGAAACAAGCACGAGGCGTGCTTCATGACAGAACAGAGAAAAGATAAACAGCAGTTCTTTTATCCTCCCTACGAGATGAATAACAACTAACTCCTTCATGCTCACCGTGCTAAATATGGTACGGTTTTCTCAAGTTTCGTATTCTTTGAAATAACTCGCGAATGCAAAAAGATATCTAGAAGCAGTTTTCTCTCTATCATAGAAGAGACTTCGATGAATACATCTATATGAGAATTATAGCTTTAATGAGATCACTCAGTTAATACGCCTGATAGATTCACGAAGCACTACCTCTAGACGGAGGGCAGATATTATTTGTCATCACGTGCAAATGACAGTTTACAAAACCCCCTAAATAAAAGACCCCCTCCAGTAGTTGAGATGCGAGGACATAGTCTAAGACCAGGAGGCTTCTAAACTGGGGGGGGGGGGGTTATTTATTTTTCTATTATTATCCAATAAAATCATTGAATATTTTTTATTAAGATTCTTCTCAATCAAGTCATTCTACAATTAGTACAGCAACTATATCAAAGAATCCAATAACAGCAGCTCAAATATCAACTCAATCTCAAATAAAACAAAGTATGTTTCATTAACTAACAATAATAGTAATTTTGTCTAAAAAATGGTTTCATCGTCTTTCAAATTGAGATAGAACTTTCTCATAAATTAATTTTTCAAAGCATATTATTCTTTTGATAAGAAATAACAATTTCTCTTGAAACAATATTCATAAAATTACAGAGATGAGCAAAATATTCGAAATACTCGTACTCGAGAAAATACATACTTGCCCAGCCCTGTAAAATTATTCATAATTTGTTTCTTTTCTATTTTATATTACTTAATATGCCACTGAAAAGAGATCAAATTAATCAGTTCGCATAATTGTGAAAAAAGTAATTATGATTATAGTAAGAATTGAATATATATTTATTGAAAAATAAAATTTTATTTTTACACTTTCTAAAATCTTCAATAAAATCTAAATCTTATATTGATTTATTTTGTTTTTGAGTCATAAAATAAAATGAGTTTTACAAATAATATCATCACTTCATCTATAGAATTTATTCAAAATATTTATTTATGTTAGTAAGAATAATTTTATTAAATATTTTTAGTTCATTTTTTAGTTTGAGAATTTGTTTTAAAACAATTTTGTTAAATATATAATTTTAAATATTATTTAGTTTCTTTTTTCTTAAATAAAAATGAAAAAATTAAGAAAATGTAAATAAATAATTTTATTTGCTTTTTTCAATTATTAAAAGTAGAAGAAATCTTTCTCAAATAAATTATTTTTGTTTAAAATTAAAATTATTTTTATTTTTGTCTTAAATTATTAAATTTCCCAAACAAAAATCAAATCGATTTTTTTCACTTTTAAATTATTAAAATGATCAAAATTCAGTGAAAATTTTCTTTTCTCTTAATCAATCACATTTCAAATATTCTCTTCAAGATTTTTATTATAAAGTCATTAGAATTCTATAGAAAATATTTTATTGTTAAATGATTTTACAATATTTATACAAATTTAAATAAAACTAATTCAAAATATTATTTTAGCAGATTAATCAAATAACAATTTTTATAAGACTAATATTTTTTAAAAGATTTATTCAAATAGAAAATTGAAATCTAAACAAATCTCTCAGAATAAATAGACTTTAGATTTGTGTTCATTTGAAAAATCTGTATTAGTATTTTCATGAAAAAAGTTTGTTGTTTTTAAGTTGTCAAATAGATTTAAGTTAAATTTAACTTTTTAGTTTAGAATTTTCAAATAAAAAAATAATTATTTAATTTATTAATAAAAAAAAAGAAATTTCAATCGATTTTATTTAATTCATTGAAACAAAAATGACTTTCATTTAAAAAAACGATTTTCGTAAATTAAACTTCTATGAAAATCAAATAAACAATTTTTAATTTAAAAATCTCAATTGAATGAAGAAATGATTTGGAATCAATTTTATTCTTTAAAGATTTAATTTTATTAACACAAATTCAAATACAAGTTTTTTTCTCATTTTCGTTCTTTTTTTGATCGAAAAATAATGAAAAAGATTTTGAATAAAAAGAAAATCTTTTATTTTAGACCAAATTCAAACAAAAAAGAATAAATATCAACAATATGGAATTACTGTTGCTGGAGGAAATGGACAAGGAGAAAATTCAAATCAACTCAGTTATCCTCAAGAGATCTGTATTGATAATGATAAGTCAATTTATATTGTTGATCGCTTCAATCATCGTATTGTTAGATGGAAATTGAATTCAAATACTGGTCAAATCATTGCAGGTGGAAATGGCAAAGGAAATCAAAATAATCAATTGAATTATCCAACACATATATTCATTGATAAAAAAAATAATTCTTTTATTATTTCTGATAAAGACAACAAACGAGTAATTCAATATTCTGGTAAAAATCAACAAATTCTTATTTCAAATATTAGTTGTTGGGGTCTGACAATCGATAAAAATGGCTTTATTTATGTTTCTGATTCTCAGAATAATGAAGTAAGACGATATAAACAAGGAGATACAAAAGGTGAATTAATTGCTGGTGGAAATGGTAAAGGAAATCAGCTTAACCAACTCAATAGTCCTAATTATATCTTTATTGATGGAGATTATTCTCTTTATATATCAGATTGGGGAAATAATCGCGTAATGAAATGGAAAAAAGATGCAAAAGAAGGAATTATTGTTGCTGGTGGGAATGGGAAAGGAAATAGTCTCAATCAATTGGGTGGTCCTCATGGAGTGATTGTTGATCATCTAGGTCAAATCTATGTAGCAGATTATGGGAATCATCGAATAATGCGTTGGTGTGAAGGAGATGAAGAAGGTGAAGTTGTTGTTGGTGGAACTGGTGAAGGAAATCAATCAACTCAATTGAATTGTCCCACAGGTTTATCATTTGATCATGAAGAGAATCTTTATGTTGTTGATTGTTTCAATCATCGAATCCAAAAATATGAAAAAATTTGAAATTAAAAATATTCTCAATTTAATTTGACAAAATGTCGATTTTTATTCTTGAAAATAAATAAAATACATTAATTTATGGTGAATCTTTAACAAAAATAAATAAAAATAAATTAAAAAAAATTTCTTTTAATTAAATAAATAAATTTTTTCCATTTTTAGAAAAAAAAGTAAATAAGCATTTTGTTAATTATAATTTTAAACTGAAAAACTAAAATAAATAAAATAATCTGGATAGAATTTTATTTGACTGCATCAAATTAAAAGAATTTCAAAGAGAATTCAGTCAAGAAAATTTTTATTTTTATAGAAAAATCAAAGAAAAGATATTTCAAATTGAGAAAAGCATTTAAGTGTGGGTGCGATCTTTAACTGATATCCACACCCACACCCTCAACTAGTGCCATAGACAGTTAAAATTCTTTTCAAGACATTGAAACTAATTTTACAATTTGAAAATTGTATAAAGAGAATTATCTTAATAATAATATAACCCAGTTACTTACATTCTTGAAATCGATTTTGTTATGAATAATAATTGAAAATTCAAGGCAAATCTTGTCGTTTTATAAATGAAATAACTAGATGTTTATATATTTTTGAAAAAATAATCTTCTATTATGGTGACGTTATGTTGGTCAACTATAAATAAATTCTAGTCTTAAAACTGTCAGAAAAATGGGTTCTGATATGATTACTGATTTTCTTTTTTATCGTTAATTAAAAATTAGAAAATCAGAAAATATTCAATTTAATCGATCAACAAGAAGAACATCAGCAATGGTGAAATAAATAAATCGACATTGAGCTCTTCAAATTGAGAATATGAGTATAAATAAATAACAAGTACTCACACCCTCAAGATATCGATCTATTATCTTTTTATTTAGAACAATTTTTATTTTACAAGAAAAACAATGATCACTTAATCTACATAGAAATATTATTGTCATTATTTAATCCATATTCGAATATCATTAAAACAAGATGGATCTCTACTTATTGCACAAGTTGATGGTAAATGTTCAATCAACCATTGAATATCTTCATCGTCATTACATATTCTTGAAGGCCTATTTTCATAGGTTTGTTCATCTGGAAAACTAGCACGTAATGCACAGAGATTGTTCATGTTACATACAAGAATTATAATACTTTGAAGATTCTTGACTGGAATGTCAAGTCGTTCACAATGACTCGCCAAGGAAGAACGAGTTAATCTAATACAATCTTTTTCATTGAAATAATGTTCACAATTTTCGAAATCCAAACAATAAATTGATGATGGAAATGTACAATTAAATAATGACATTGGCAAAGGTAATAATGATTTTTGATGAATAGTCAATGTACGAAGATGAGGCATTCGATTGAGTAAAGCTTGCAGTTTAGATTGTGAAAAATCAGTAGTGAAATCTAATGAAAGTGATGAGACGTCATGTAAATTTGAAATCATCGACCAGTATTGATCATTGATCGGACATTTTACTGAAAGAGAATGAAGTTTTGGAAAATAAATCTTCGACGAAATTGGTTGATTGAAAAGTGTCACATCCGAGATACGATCTATAGTAGTATAAAGTCTTTCAATATTGTCTTGTGAATCTGTTGATCTGAACACACCAGGAAGCTTTTTATCAGTATAATGAAATGCGTTCGACACAGTCTCAAAAGAAACACAATCTTCGTTACTTATGCATCGAACAAACCACCGATGTTCATCAATCCAAAATGAAGTTCGAAATGAATTCATTAATTCATCAATTTGTTCCTCTGTCATCCATCGCATACCATGTAACTTTGTCATTGATAAGTGAAATGTTCTCAGTTTTAGTAAATAGTTACGTATGAGATCTTCCCATTGACGACCATCAATGAAATAGTAACCCGATATTTCAATGTTCAGATGATGTATATTCGGTGTATTCTGTAAAAATAAGATGCTCGTCAATGAATAAATCTCAGCAATAGAAATGTTTAAATTGGTCAATGATGAAAACGATGATCTTATATAATTGTTATTTTTGTCAGAATTAATATATCCCTGAAAATATTTGAGATAAGGTGTATATTGAAACAATCGATTGATTGTTTTCCAGTTTAATTTCTCGATATGGATGTATAAATACTTGAGTGATAACGAGATCTTTGACGGTATAATAAACGATTTTTGTCTTGTCTCATGAATATCGAAATAACAATGAGTTAAGTTTGGCAAGTTCCAAATATTATTCGTTAGCAATTTGAAACTCCTTTCATCATAATCTGGAATACAACAAGTATAGAACTTTAAATGAGTCAGCTGAACAAGATGAGGCAATTCAATGGCGACTTTTACTAGAATTTCTTTTGAACCTAGATAAGATAATGAAAGCGATCGTAAATGAGTAAATTGTCTCAATGATAGTATATGAGAAAAAAATAGATCGACTTGTCCTGGAGTCCATTCAGAATCGGAAAGATGCAGAGCAAGAATGCGATCCGTGATCATTGGAATATGTTGTTGACATATTAGATCAAAATTATGTTTGGGCAGTACGAAGAAGTTGAAGTAATAACATCGATATTGTTTGTAGAGAAGAGCAGTAATACGAGCATTGAGACCATAAAATGTATGAAAAAGATCATTACCATTCAAATATTCGAAGAAAGCAAGTAAGATTTCGTTTGGTAATACGTTAAAATTCATGGCTTTCACTTCTATGCATCTGATTCACTTGCATAAATAGGATACAGTTTAACAATGTCCGGCATGATATATCCGATACTGCATCTGACTAGTTCAAACTATTGATACACCCTGAAGATGCTTTTATAATAGATGTCGTTGGTCGATGATCTATCTTGCTATAGTTATTTTGTATTGCTTGATATATTTATCCATTCTTATTTTTATATGCTTGTATATTCAATAAAAAGGAGAAAAAAACGTTTTTATTTCGATAATTAAATAAGATGCATGCACATTTTGCTCCTCCACTTCAAGTAATTTTTTTTCTTCTAATTATTTTCATATATTTTAATTTTATTTAAAATATAGGCAGCTGTAGCAGCTGTTATGGCTCTATCAAATACATCATCAGCTTCATCAACATCGGAAAGTCATGCATTAACACCTATTCATCAAACAGCAACAAAAAATGAATGGATGGAAGCCATTGAACAACAACATTTAGAAAGATCATCATTAAATCGTTTAATTATCAATTATCTTATTACTGGTATATATATATATATTCAATAAAAATATTGACGCTTTTTTTTTCTTTTATCTAGAAGGATTTAAAGAAGCAGCTGAGAAATTTGCTGAAGAAACTGGTATGTCATTAAATAATATTGATTTGACATCAGTTGATGAACGTTTAAAAATTCGTGAAGCTATTGAAAATGGAAAAATTCAAGAAGCTATTGATATTATTAATAAGAAAGCACCAGAATTACTTGATCAAAATCGACAATTAGCATTTCATTTAAAGGTACTTATCGTTTTAAGATTTTTCATATCGTATTATTTATTTTTATTCTAGCAACAACATTTAATTGAATTAATTCGTTTAAATTTAATTGATGATGCTTTATCTTATGCTCAAATTCATTTAGCTGAATTTGCTGAAGATGAAATACTAATGCGACAAGAATTAGAAAAAACTATGGCATTATTAGTTTTTGATAAACCATTAGAATCTCCCTATGGTTATTTAATGCAAATATCACATCGACAACAAGTTGCTAATGAAATTAATAGTGCTTTATTAATTCATCAAAATGAACAATCAGAATCGGATTTATCTATGCTTGTTCGAATGGTTACATATATGCAAGACAAATTAGATAATAAATCTTTACGTTATCCAAAATTAATTGATATATCAACAGGAAAATTAGATGATTCCTAACTATTGTTGAAATTTTGTTTTCTCTTCTTCTTCTTCTTTCATGTATGTTTATTTTATGATTATTTCGAAGAAAAATAAAGATTTATTTATTATCTTCAAAATAGAATTATCTGTGTATGTATAACCTTGATCAATAAGAAAACTTTGTCGTTTTGATAAATGATTGTATAAAAACAGATGTAGTATTCTCGTTGATATTAATAATATCTAAATGAAATATTTCTTTAAACGTAAAATTCGATTAAGTCGTTGTGAACAACCATCACTTGATATTTGAATAGCAACAGTAGCTTCAGGTAAATCAAATAATGTATCGTCAACCTATATTCCATAAATCGATATAGAAAAATGGACTTATTTTCGAAGAAAAGATAGTAGTAATAAAATAATAATATAAGAAGAATGAAAATCTACTTGACAAGTTTTAATGCACACAGATTTTAACTGCAAATGGATTATCACGAAAAACGATCATCTTATTATTTCGTTATTCATGATATTCAATTGTTGTTCATCGAATTCTGAGATATAATATTTCGATCATATTGAATATGATTTGAAAATGAACTAGTTTCCGGCGCAGGTCGTTTGTTCATGATCTTTCTCTTTCTTCATATATTAAATTATCAAGTTCGAATATTTTACTAATAGAAACAATAATCGAAACTTGTCAATGAACTGATTCACATTTATTTTTATATTCATAATTTGTTCAACTTCAAAATTCTAGGATGAATACATGCAGTAGCGGATTTCAAGGGGGGGCGATGGGAGTGATCGCCCTCCCCTTCTGAATTTTCTTTTTGATTTTTTACAGCTAAAATGAACGATAAAATAGGTTCACACTCCTTCGGTTGGACTCAAAAAATAGCTTTTACCCAAAATCCTAGATTCGCCACTGAATACATGTCTTATTTTTCAATGAGTTGACAATTATTGAATGAAAAAAGAAGTTTAGTCAACAAAACAAAATAGTTAATTCGTGTGATATATATTCGTTTGCTTGTTGAACATCAAACTGATGATATTAACGAATTTGACTCGAAAATACTGTTACTTTTGAGAATAAGATAAAATATTTTTATAAAATCATTTGAATTATTTTAATTAAGTTCGGTGAATTATTTTGATAACTAATGAGACTTTATAAAATATATCTGATTTATTTTTCTTTTTACTTACATGTTAGAAATAAAGTACCATTCATTTAAAATGTTCTTCTATTCGAAAGAGTAAAATTAAAAAACAATTTAATAAAATCTTTAGAAGAAAATTTTTATTTTATTTTTCAATTATTTCGAGATTTTTCTTTTGATAAAAAAGAGATTTCTTGAAATAAACGAGAAACTCTTCATTAAAGAATTGAAATTTCGATTTTTTAATAAAATAAAACAAATTTCATCTTTTGTTTATTTGTATTTTAATAAACTATTTTATTTTATTTTCAATATTTAAATGTGAAAAGAATTTTTTTGTTTTAAGAAAAAGATTTTCTTAATCTAGTCTTTCGATTTTGACAGAACTCATTCTTATTCATTTATCTCTTTCTTTTCTCTCAATAAACCATAAAATCACAAAAAATAAATCTAATCAAATTTCTATTTACAAGTTTTTTTCATTAATTTAAATTTTCTTTTTCAGTTTAGATAACATTTTATTTGATTTTTCTATAAAAATTAAATTTCTTCTAATTGAATTTTCTTTCAAATTCTTTTTATTTGATTCATTCAATAAAAATTCTATTCGAGTTATTTTATTTATTTTCGTTCTGTTAATTTATTTTTGTTGAAAATTTTTCATAAACTAATGTTTTTTTTATTTATTTTCAAAAATAAAAACCGAAATTTTCTCAAATTATATTAAAAAAATGTTTCCCTTGAAATATTTTCATACTTTTGGATTCGATGATTGTGTTTATCAGCAACATAAAGATTTTCTTCATTATCAAATGACAAACCTGTGGGACCAAGCAATTGATTTGATTTATCTTCTCGGCCATTTCCATCAACGACAACTTCACCTTTTTTATCTCCTTCACACCAACGCATTATTCGATGATTCCCAGTATCTGCCACGTAGATTTGACCCAAATGATCAACAATCACACCTAGAGGAGAAGACAATTCTTTGAGACTATATCCTTTACCATTGCCACCAGCAACAATAATTCCTTCTTTCGCATCTTTTTTCCATTTCATTACACGATGATTCTCCGAATCTGATATATAAAGAGAATAATCATCATCAATAAAGATATAAGTAGGACAATCGAGTTGATTAAGACCATTTCCTTTACGATTTCCACCTGCCACCAATTCACCTTTTTTATCGCCTTGTTTCCATCGTCTTATTTCATGATTGTCCAAATCAGAAACATAAATAAATCCATTTTTATCGATTGTCAGACCCCAACAATCAATATTTGAAATAAGAATTTGTTGATTTTGGTCAAAATATCGAATTACTCGTTTGTTTCCAAAATCAGAAATAATGAAAGAATTATTTTGTTTGTCAAAAATTATATCTGTTGGACGACTCAATTGATTGTATTTAATTCCCTGTCCATTTTCATTTACAATGATTTGACCAGTATTTGAATTCGATTTCCATTTAACAATACGGTCATTCACACAATCAGCAATATAAACTGATTTATCAATATCAATACAGATTCCTTCAGGACAAAAGAGTTGATTTAATAGATCTCCATCTCCATTTCCTCCAGCAACAGTAATTGCAAACTGTCGAAATTTATTCTTTTTTGCTTGAGTTTGCTCTAAAATAAAAGATTTTCATTTTATTCAAAGTCTTTTTCATTATTTTTAAACCAAAAAAAGGTCGAAGACAAGAAGAAGAACTTGTATTGGAATTCGTTTTTATAGAATAAAATTCATATTTTGTTAAATTTAATTTTTAATCGAACAAAATTAATTTCAAATAATTTCTTAATTTCTTTAGATTCCCATTTCAAAATTGTTTATTTGATTTCTATTTCACTATGTTAAATAAAATCGATGAAAAATTTCTTTTTTAGTAATGAATTAAAATACTTTTTTTATTTGAAAAATTCTAAACTAGGCTTAAATTTACTCAACAGTTTAAAAACAACATAATCTTTTTTATTAAAATATTAAACGCGATTTCTCAAATGAAAAAATATAAAAATTCTATTTATTCTGAGAAATTTGTTTAGATTTAAATTTTTTATTAGAATAAATCTTCTGAAAAATATTAATCTTATAAAAATTGTTAATTGATTAATGTGTTGAAATAATATTTTGAATTAATTTTATTTAAATTTTAACAAATATTTTAAAACCTGAAAAGAATCGATCTGATTTTATTTGAATAATTTGAGAAGAAAATGAAATTAGTTTTAATTTTAAACCAAAATTATTTATTTGACAAAATTACTATTATTGTTATTTAATGAAACATACCTTCTTTTATTGCCGTTTCAGTTAGGTTTTTACAGAATGCTGTTACTGTATCCATTGACATAATCGCTAAACTATTCATAGAATGATTTTGTTGATAAGAATCTTGATAAAAAGAAAACACAATAATTTTATTTGACAATAATAGAAAAATAAATAGAGAATTATTCCGACTATTAGAACTATTATTTAATATTTTGAGATAATTTAAAATAGGAAAAACGCGAATTTTAACTTTTGAATATAAATCACAAAGTTTTCTCTATGAAATATTTATTTTCTTTCGAGAAAATATTTTTCTACCTGTAAAATACGAAACGATATTTGCTTATAAAAGCGCTTACACGCCTTTTTGAAAAATCTTGTCTCTTGGGTATCTCACTCTGTCATACACATGAGTAGGGGTAGGACAGTTCATAGTTCCAAGTTCGGATGAACTGGTCAAAAGAACTATCAGTTCAGTTCTTCTGATAGGAACTGAACTGAACCAACAGTTCTGTGAATAGAACTGAACTGTATTAACAGTTCTTTGAATAGAACTGAACTTTACCAAACAGTTCTTTCAGAGGAACTGGTCGGTTTCAACAGTTCTTTTAAAAGAACTGTTTTGTTTCAAATTTGTTTTTATTTCCAAAAAAATAGTTTTCACAGCAGTTCTCTGAAAAGAACTGAACTGAAATAACAGTTCTTTGAAAGGAACTAAACTTGTCGGTACAGTTCAGTTCTATTCAAAGAACTGTTGGTTCAGTTCAGTTCTATTCAAAAGAACTGTTAATACAGTTCCTAAGAACGGAACTAATATGGAACTGTCCTACCCCTACACATGAGCGCCCTACCTTTCGGACCACGCGGGTCTCATTATATCAGGCAAATAGTCTGAATAAACCGGAGATTCACTTGAACTATCCAGCCTGGTCTTCGACATTAACTTCTTTACTAATTCATACAGATGCTAACTATCTATTTGATTGTACTTTTATTTACATCTTGTATTTCTTGTTAAACCTGTTTTTAAATGAATATCTGATCGAATAAAATTATTCATAACTCATCTGATATGAGAAACGAAATAAACTTCAGTAAAGACTATGACCATTATAACGTACTGATGAAAAAACCTTGATCAAAGCTATCTAACAATGAAAACATCAAGTTAAATATAAACTCTATATAATTTCGAAATAAACTTACGTTTTATATTTTCTCAAAAGACTCTGTACTGACTCACAAATGATATAAGTTGTTCCTAATTTTGGTGCAGTATTAACAACAACTTATTTGTTTACACTACGCACAAACAGTTTATAATATTGGATAAACACACTGCTTACCTTATGTTACTGCGTATAGGATGTTTGATTTTGAATGTGAAAATATTAGTGATATTCGTTGATTATATATCAACAGCTCTTCCGCATCTTTCTTTCTTGTTTTTCTGTTTTCTCTTTCACTCTTCGTATCTATTCTTTACATTTCATAACGATGTTATGGCTCATTAGTCAGACTATTACTTATCTTTTCAAACTAACCAGTGTTTGACGTCAATACGAAGAAAATATTTCGGCGTGTCAGTAATGACAAAAATAATATATATTAAAGCACTAATAAATTCAATAAACAGCGAAAATAATATAATTGTAAGTATTTTCGTGGTTAATGGCAAAATATTG